ATTGTAAGAGATTGAGTTTGGTTCGATATTTCTCAATTGCCAACGATCTGGAGATTCTTTTAATTTAGAACATCATCTATGCTAACTGAATAGATCGAATGATTGAAACCTCAACAAAAATGCTCAACACGATTGAATAAGATAAAAAGAGAATCGTTTAAGGAATATCCAATGTTTAAAACACTAGGAGGATTAAATTACTTTTGAGTTAATTCGATTAAATAATGATGATTAAATTGAATGAATATCAATTTTAAATAATCCACCAAACTAAACAATCTTCACTTGAACATAAAATCGCAGTGGGTAAATTAAACTTATTTCATATTGAATAAATCAATACACATGAAAACCCAATGAGTGTCAATCAATGAAGTTCACTTGAAACCGATGATTGAATGTTAGAATTAATTTCTTCCGAATTTTATATTTTTCTTTTTTGATAATGATGATGCTTTTTCTTTTCTGTTGTAATTGAACTCAGATTAGTCCGTAATGTCAACCATAAAATTCAACAATCTACACAAATATGTACAGTAAAAATATTTAGCACTTCGTGTCTGAATAATTTTCCCGTTAATGTCAGTCGATGAAGATTATAATGAGTTTGTGCTAAATCCTATTCACAAAAATGACTGAATTACGTAAATCAATTCTACACGACAATCATATCAGAAGTAATATATATGTTGAAACTGTTATAACTAAATTAATAATCAGCTCTTAATACTGGACATTAGATTGTGGAAAGTTTTTATAAGCAAACAAAGACTAATTATTCAGGAAAGAAGGCAAAGACTGCAAATAAATATTTATTTTGTGCAAAATTAAAACAAACTATATCGGAATATATTGAGTTTTAAATATTTTACTCATACTAATCAATATATTTATATGTATAGAACCGGAAAGAGCTAGACAGTACTTAATCTATAACTGACAATATCATTAGAATAAACAGCTATAGCTAACAAACGTAAATAATTAACTGAATTATATGGTTTACTCCTTTCTAATTAATCAAATAACTTAATAGAATATATATGGTTGTTAAAGCCAATGAGTTAGACCAATCATAGAAAACTAGAGGGGCTTAGATATTTGTTTTGTTCTAGTACAGAACTCCCATAGTTGAGTTAAGTAATAAGTAATTAACTATGGATTAAAATTCAAATCTCAAGGTAATCTCAAGGCTATAACAGGAAAATATATTAATTTATCGAATGATAATAATGGAAAAAAGAAGAATAAACCATGTAGCATATAAGTAAATAATATAATTTGTAATATCCCAATGAGTAGAAAATTAGATTTTCTGACGTTTTGTGACTTAGTGTAAGTCACTTCTTCAGAGAATAAATAACCAAATTAAAATTAATTCAAGTTTAAATAGTACAACATAACAATGCCTGTTTTTTGATTGATCAAATATTATTCTTGCATTGTTCCGTTGTACTATTGAAACTTGGATTAATTTTAATTTGGTTATTTATTCTCTGAAGAAGTGACTTACACTAATTCACGAAACGTCAGAAAATCTAATTTTCTACTCATTGGGATATTACAAATATATTATTTATTTATAACAATCAACCCGATGCTCAATTTATTTGAAATTATCAAATCAAACCTTGGTAGTGATACCTACATGTAGCATATGTTGACATTTGCTTCAATTTGAAAGAATTCATATCTAACTGGAACATTTACTAAATATGGTATAGAAATCAGTTTTAGGATCAGTTAGGCAGTTAGTGTTTGGTATGACTTTAGTTATTTAAAATCATAACATCCACACACACAAGCATGCTAACACTTACCAGATGTCATGCTTCATCTGGTCATAAAGTGAGTCGGGATTTGTGTATCCCATATAATAGCGAATATTAAACGATTATCTTCACTACCCACTGATGACCTCATTTTAATTTGACCTTATTACATCATCACTAACATTTTTATATCAGCTAGTTTGACAGGTAAACAATGAGTGATGAAATAGACCATAATATGCCCCATCGCAAAACTGTAAACGTTAATATTATTGTTTACTTTCACATTCACCCATTTTGTTTAGCTTCAAAATGTTGATTGACATTGTGTTTTCATGAATGGATCAAGATTACTATTACTGATATAAAGATAAATACTTTTCATTAAATTATTGATTTAACTGGCAGTTGTTAAATATGAACTTATCTTCCGCCAGAAAACATTCATTACCTCAAGATTACAGGTACAACTTGCTGACGAGTTCCAAATACCATGAAACCTAGCCCCAAGATTTCCTGTTGACTACCTACAACTACCACCTTACGAAGTGATCTTCCTTTGAAAACCCTTGAACTCCGATAAATGTAGGATATATATATTTCGTCTAGCTAATAAAATGTTAAGCAACCGGATGAATTTCCGAAAACTTTTTGAGCATTCATTTCCGGGTACACTAATGTTAATTCACATTTGATTAATATTGGATATCACCTTATGATAAATGAATCATTTTCAACTTCCTGGTTGATTTTTATCCATCTGTTTTCGTTATCAGTTGAAAGGTATCTGATTCCCGTACCAGTTTAACTTATTTGGTTGTTACGATTTCATTTCATGACATGATATTCTTTCTCAAACTCCACTTCTTGTTCTTTTCCGATATCATATTATTAACTGTTATTGAGAATGGATAAAAATATGAGATCACGTTTCAGCTCAGCGAGATTTTTGTTCACTAAAATAATCTTTGTATTGATGCGTCTTCTGACTGAATGCTTGAATCGATTTCCTAAGCTCTTCAAATAGCATCAGGATAAATCTACACCACAACTTGAACACGAGTGAAAAAACGAGTGGTGTGAAAAGAACGCTTCACTACAAGGTTAGTTTATGTACCGAAAATAGAGGGTATTTACAGTATTTCAGATGGACTTGCCTCCCTACAAGATTCTGGAGCCATACTAAACATTGTAGCAGGATAGGTAACAATTCAGTCGGAAATATGATACGTAACTCTTCACTTTCTAGATGTATTTAAGAGACTTCTATTCAATGCTGATTGGATAAAATGTTTCTCACTGTTTTCAGGACCCCTTTGAACATTTTGGAGTAATACTCTGTGTCTACCCAGCAGTATTCGTTAAAAGAGAATTTCGTACAGTAAAAATATACAGCACACCTTTCGTAATAAATTTAAGAAAATAAAATGGAATATGTAATTCCAATTAGCTTTATATAAGTGTTATTACTAAAACCCACTAGAAATGTGTGAATTTCATGTTTAATGATGAAATTTAGAAGACAAATGGATGGAATAGCAATGAGTCCACTACTAGGTCCCATATTCGCTAGTATTTTTCTGTTTAATCTGTAGAAAATGATCCACTCAAGGAGTTTATCCAAAAGTTTTTATTTTGTTATGTGTGATTGGTATATCCATCATTTGTAATTATAATACAGAATAACTAAAAGTTCATTGATAATTTAGTGCAGTACACCTGGCCATTAATTTCATAAAAGAAGAGGAACTTAAAGGTAGAATAACATTTTAAGCTGTTCTCCTAACTAACGAAGTTGAAGGATCAATAATATTGTATTTAAACGAGAAAAATATATACAAGAGGAAATATCCGTCTTCTAAGCTTTTTTATCGCTGCAGTACACTAGAAACACAGTAGAAACAGTCATAGCATAACAGCTAATATGCTCTACTTAGACTTCTGAAGAGAAACTGAACGTCATGGATAATACTCTCATGAGAAAATTCATATCCTGAAAAGTTTCGAAACATATTACGTAGTCTCCGCTCAAACATTTGATTTGATTTGCGATTAAATGATCGTTATTTCTGTTATATCCAAGTGAAGATTATATTATGGATAACTTCTGAGAACTATTTATGGACTAATATTATACATATATTCTTATGCGCACTGCTGAGGAGTCCCATAATAGGACGAAACGGCCGTCCAGTGCTTCCAGGTTTTCCATGGTGGTCTAGCTTCAACTGACTCATGATCTTAATCAATGAAATTACTACAATCTCCACAAAACCCCTTCTGATAATAATCAACATATGCTCATTAGTGACTGGCTTCAAGAGGTATATCCTGGAGTTCTAGTGAGAAGTAGTGACCAGTGGAGTTCAAACCAGGTCTGTTGTGGGATAGAAACTCACTGAAGACAATGGTGGATGTGTCGCTCAATTTCGTGGATTAGTTGAAGTTAGACATTAACACCGTTGGATGCCGGCTCAGTGGTCTAGTGGTTGAGTGCTCGCGCGCGAAGCCAGTAGGTCCTGGGTTCGAATCTCGCAGGGGGCGAGGTCGTGGATGCGCACTGCTGAGGGGTCCCATAATAGGACGAAACGGCCGTCCAGTGCTTCCAGGTTTTCCATGGTGGTCTAGCTTCAACTGACTCATGATCTCAATCAATGAAATTATTATATAACTGTTAAGAAGCTAAACTAATGGTTACTGTTATGTGATTTACTATTCTCAGTCTATTAATTGCAATTTCTTGAAATCACAGCCACTTTTTGGCTTGATCCTGTATAATTGTTATTTTTTATTTTATGGTATGATGTGTTCTGGTTTGCTTGCATATAAACCAGGTATGTTTGAAATAAATGATACATATAGTGCAACCAGACATTGGTGTTCTGGACTCAACAGGCAGAGCTATGCAGGAAAGAGGACCAATTAGGACTCTAGGCTGCTCATACGGGTTAATACGTCATTGATTTGGTATAGTGCTGAGATTGTATAAGTCGTATTTAGATTGGCGACTAAATCATGTGACGATTAGCCGGGCAGAAGTCACAACACTGTCGTTCAGTATTATTTATATTTATTCTAATTATTAATTATACAATTCCAATAAACGTATAAATTTATTCAAGTTAACATTATATTATAATAGTCGTTTTAACATCAACAAATCTAATTTAATGAGTAACTTAAATTCAAACTTTATATTTACCTTAAATTACTGCAGGACTACATTTACTAGCATAGATATTGTTTGTTCATATTATGTATCAATACAAAGCGTTTTTATGTTTCTTACATTGTTAAACAAGTCTTGTATTTTCAATGGTACAATTTGACAAGTAATTTACTGAAAGTAACTATCTTATCAAATGTATCGTATGCAACTAGGAATTTTTGACTGTTTAACCTATCTGAAAGCAGCTTTAGTTTATGTATAATAATTCCATAAATTCTATCCTTAATTTTGTGATCGAATTATAAGGTAACACACCGGATAAGGATAAATTTAAAACTAACAATCGACCAAATCACAAATTCTACCCTAAATGACTCAGTTGAATTTCCTGTTGTTTGCCCTAGCTTCTAACGGACCAGTCCATATATTTAAAGTTGTGTTATGATTGGTCGACTGTTTTATTTACCATGTAATTGGTTGATTTCATGTGCATGTGATTGGTCAAATAAATTAACTTGTTATATAAATTGATAGAAGGATTTAGGGAAATTCATCGAGAATAATGTCTACCAGCGTTGTGACTCCCGTGTTCCCAGTCTCTTGTTTGACAGATCCATTATATGATGCAGTTTTGTTACTGAATGATGATATAGAAAATTTACCAAGAACTTTACAGCTGGCTTATAAGTCTTTGAAGGAGTTCTCTGAGGTGAGTAGTATTTGTTTTCACAGTCGACCGAATTAAACATGATCTTATCTCAAGTTACGGAATTTTGTATCTATAATTTACTGGTTTTTATGGTTAGATATAAAATTAAAACATACAATTTTTCGGGAACTTCCATTTTTCTATAACTGGTTCCTAATATTTTAAGGTGTTGCCCAATTTTTTCAATTGCATGTCTAAGGGGCAAGTGTAGTATTCAAAACCTGGCTAGTATTCCTGCCTAGAAACCGCTTAATATTTTATATTTGTCTACAGAATAAATACTAAGGTATCAAAATAATTATTCAATATTTACATTTACATTTCGTGTCCATAAATTTGCAGAATTTCTACCGAGTTGTACAGCTAAATATAAGTTTTAGTTGCATAAAGACCTTCAGCTCTTTTTTCAAATCCTGGGCATCATATTATATTACGTTATTCATTCGTCGATGTAATTACTTGCTAGTGATACTGATGTATACAAAACTTGCTATTTCCAAATAATTGCCCAGATTCCGATAATCCTGTAGTACGTTTCGAAACTACTTTAGGTTTTGATGTTCAATAAATTCGTCGTAATTATACGTATACATCTATTCACGTTATATATTAGTTACATGTTTATCTTTTTAAGTGGTTATCAGTCTTCATAACCGATCAGACTTGTAACCTAATGAACGGAGATTTACAAGTTGTACATTGTGGGCCGATTAATTATGAATATAATTAATTCACAAAAAACCTATTTCAATTCATATCCTTACAAGTTTGCAACTGCTATCTCTTACTATTTCACAGCTAATTATCGATTAAAGTTTAGGACGGTATTACGAATGTATTAAATTCTTATGTATTCAGTAAAATTTGAAGGGTATTCTGTGGTATCAAGCTTTGAATTATTTAGACTGATTTTAGTAGAATATATATATATATATATATATATATATATATATAAAGTTTGGTCTCCTGAATTAGTAAGTATTCTATCATAATGATTTTTTTAACGTTTACTTCCAAGGTTAATCCTAAGTTTTCAGATGAAGTCAGTGTGATTCCATTCCCAGAACACCCATCAAAAAGATTAGTAAGTATTTTTTTCACTGATTTCTGTTTCCATCTTTCTTTTCATTTAAAATCTTAGAATATGTAAATCAGGTACATTTATATTTTCACTCTATGAAGCGGTTTTGATAGCCATTTATCAGCCAATGTTTTTCTGAGAAACACAATTTCTTCAATGCATTCAGTACTACAGATCTTACTTATTCGGTAACATGGAGTGAATAAGATTCCTCTTTCTGCCTAGTGGAACTCAGCTATAGAAGTTGGTTAATTGGCCGTTCTATGTTTACTTTCCGTAAATTGACTCTTTTTAAGATCTATCTTTCCTCTTTGTCAGAGGCACATCGGGGGATGAGTTAGAATCACCTGATTTCTTTCGGAGTTCTATTTACATAACTGTTGAGTTCTATTTATGTATGGAGACATTTAAAGTACTGATTATTCAGTTATCAGTTGACTGCTGAAATCAATTAGCGGGGATTTTATTTGACTAGTTAATCGCCTTATTTCTCACGGTAAACCTTCATTCAGTTGAGTTTATTTAATCTACGTAACTCCCGAAATCTGACCAATAAAAGTGTTATTGTATTGTGTATGTGTTAGGAAATTAGTGCATTAAGTTATCAGATATTTACAATGAGCAGTAACACAAAACTTCACAATTCAATCAATGTGAACTGGATCGGTCCTCAGTTTCTTAAGACTACCAGTTATGCATTATGTACACACGTCAGATAGTATCTATTTATTATGAAATATATGCTTGTTTATCGCCTAATAAAAACCACAAAGTCTCAATATCATTTTAAGCCTCCATTATCAATTTCAATGTGATAGGATTTTTGAATTTGTAAGTCAATCTATTCTTTAAAAATATTTCATAAGAAATTTTTAAATTATTTCAGATTTTTAGTCCAACTGGTCGGTTAAATACAGATGAAGCGGACATTCGTAGTGTGTATGATGCTGCTGTGAATGGCATGTTAAAGTAAAGCTAACATTGACTTTATATTCTTGTGGGTACACTCATTGATGTTTTGTTTAGTTCAAATATAAATGATGATTACACTTTTAAGGCTATATTGCATTGTGATCACAACCAATAGGTCGCAGGCTTGAACCACTTACACTTTCGATTGATGATACATACTACTTATATCTGTCGACATCAGTAGTACACGTCATAGTAGTATTGATTTTCCTTGTACATACAATTTTCTTTTAATTTGACACTTTACTCTATGATGACAAGGTTAGTTTTCCGTTTTCATTTCAAGAGTTCTGGGCACCATACAGTGATGTTTCTTCCGTTCGTTGTACGGTATTTCCAATTTTTTACGAAAATCTAAGTCTCATTCCCTATTTTGACTAACTTGTCCCCCGTACTACACTTCTACCTTGAATTCTTAAAATAGTCTCCTGGATAAATTTAAATATTACCGTATTGTCAATTAGAACAACATATATAAGCGAACGACATTGTTTTCAATTAGATCTTCATTAGGCTTTACTTTAATATACAGTAGTATGTCAATGCACATATGAAATTGTTAAATCAATCAGGACGGTTCATGAGTCAGTGATAACAATGGAATAGATTACATAAATAAACAAAGTACAAATTGATAGTGTGATGACAGGTGTAGTAATTGTGATAAGAATAATAAAGGATTGAATCAAGGTTTCATAATAGAAAATAGATCAATCACTTGAAAAGTATAGATACTGAAATAACATTCATTAAAGATTATGAGATTAGGCATATATTTGAAAAAGGGGGTGAAGAGGAAAACATCAGAACATATAGTATGGGAATTAATAATTTTTATGACTACAAAGATTTGAATTGTTAACTCGAATCCCCATAGCTTCTGCTGTGTAAGAGATGTGATGGAACCCCATAAGGAAAACTAGTAGGTATACGATAAATTATTTTAAATGACCTATTTCCAAGTTTCCTGGTTTTGCTAAATCATGTATGCCTACGAATTCAGCTACTCCTGTAGAGAAAGTTATATTGGGTATACAACCAAACAACTAATCGAACGAGTTAGTGAACATCAGCCAAAGGTATAATCAAACAATGTGCATCTCTGTCCTATCATGTTTGGTTGGTATCGGTCAGTATCTCTTCGTTATAAACTGTGTATTTGAAATGATTATTCAAGCAGTTCATTCTTTAGTATTACATAATGTAATTAATTATTGTAGCTATAAGTTTATTTTCCTAAATTTCGACCTACTTTTTATGTTGCAATAAATATACATGAGATCAAGCATTTTTTAATTATTCATATTAATATCATTCATAAAACCTGTCACCTCACTACCGATTTTCACTCCTTTATTATGACAGGTTGTGTAATCTACATAATTGTTACTGACAACCTACAAATGACCTTTGTTAGTTTAATATTATTCATGTATGCATAGGAATATCGTTGTACGTTAGAATCAAACCGGATGGAGATCTAATTGTAAACGATTTTTGTTCAATTACATGTCTTATTCCACAAATTTGTTCTATTTAGCTCAATGTTTTTATTATTAAATGAGTACTCCTTTGTATTAGTTTCATTGATACTATAATGCTGAACTCCGTTTCAATAATATCAAGATGGAATAACATGATTTAGGCAATAATGCTTAAGCCAATAATTGTATGTTTCTCTTCATCTTTTTTTAATCTTCCCTTATCTGTTCAGATTCTGTTCGTTCCTTTTGCGTTATAATTTTCTACTACAATTGATGCACTTAATGTGATAACTTAAATGTCTTTTCTCTATTTATGGTAGATTGATATATTTTTCCTATGATTAACCACAAGTAACAACTTACATAAAATATTGAATATAAATGTTATCATGTAATTTTCTTAAATTCAATAATATTAAGTTTTCAAATCTCACTATTCTGCATTCTTTGTTCTTATACTTAATAGATTGTTAAACATAGGTTGTAAATCACCGCTATTATGTTGTGGATCATTCATATCAGCACAGAAAGATTCTCAATGGTCTGAACGTAATTGTTTATTATTAAATGCTGTATTGGGAGCATATCATGCATTGTATACAGTAAGTTTTTGAAATGTTTTTTTTCCAATTTTTATTTTGTTGTACACAAAATAATTTAATGCATATTGTGTACCTATTGTCTAACTGTGATTGGCTTATGGCAATCTCTAAAAAAACGTGGGAAACTAGAGAAAACATTATGAAAGGATGAGAGTTTAAGAAGGTCTGAAAGAAGTGTATATACTAAGTTCCAACACCACATATGTATGCTGTTAAGGGTTTCTACTAGATTTGCTGAACGTCTTCATTTATTCTCGAATTATATTGTTTGTATTTAATGTTTCCTACCACCACTGGTAATGTTACCACCTCTACTATTGTGGGATTTATTTTGATAATTTCATCTCGCTGCGATGATACAATGTGAAAATTTAAACCGATTCCTATACACTCCAGATTCTATATTGGTTGTAACTGACGAATTGATGAATCAGATAACGGTCTCCAGTGTTTCTTGTAGTTGAATGGTTGTTCAATTTACTTTAGTTCCTAATGAATTGAAACCTCTAACAATCCACTGAAGTGAAAGTTGTTACCGATTTCTGGATGAATAACCACACATTTATCTTTATGAAAAATGTATGTAAATGTGTATCTTCAATTAATCGAATTACAAAAATAACATTAAAGGGTGATCGGAATACGAAGTACGATAAATACTTTAATCTGTTTTAGTTGATTGTCAGTTATCATTAATTTTTGGTGTCCATTGAATGTATACTTATCCTATTGTTCACTCTTGAGAATACAGTAGCCTTGATTGCTGTTAGAGGTATGGGAGAGGTTATCACTTCCCGATTGCCCACACGTAGAAGGGATCTTCTGGAGGTACCTGAACAGGAAATTGGATTAGTGGTGGTCTTAGTGACCTGAGAGCGTGACCGCAATGACCGAGGGACAACTGCTTGAGGTCGGTCATACACGACCTTTTTGTGAGTAAGTTTCGTGTCAGCTCCTTACTTGTTTAGACCTTACCGCCGGCGACGGATATCCGTACGATAAGGCTAGGTGTGCATTTTTAGGGTCGACCTTTTCTAACCCACCCCTCCTTGTGGGAAGGCAGGATCGCTGTTATGCTGATTGTCTGAAGGAAACACCTTGCTGCTGTCACACCTCTGCACAGTCAGCAATACGACTTTTCCTCCGGGCGTTGGGTGTTTTGTTTTTAGTCTTAACGCACTTTAACCGATCTGTCTGGCATGGTAGGACCTTGAAGAACGATTGTTCCAGACAGTATAGCTCGGTTGCTTCCTCACGATAGGCAAGTCCGACCACCACTTCAAGGTAGTAACAACGGTCGGGCTATCATTCACTAAATCTATGTAATTAAATAATAAATATTTACCCTCACATATTATTCGTACTAGTATACATAAAAATAAGTATTTAAAATTTCAAAATTGAATTTTCATCTATCCCCTTCATGAAACCAGCCAGTCATTTCCTAAATAATAATAAGCGCATATTCTTCGAATTGTTTGTTTAGCCTCTTGAAGTTCGTGAAATGCTCCCTGAGAAATTTCCTAAAGCTATTCGATTTGGGGTGATGGAAGCTAATGACTCCTTACTAAGTATTGCTAAAGCTATTGAAGAAGGACGAACATTAGCACGAGATATTGGTGGTTCGGATCCTGAACGAATGGCAGCCCCGAAAATTGCTGAATACTTACAAAATGCTTTAAATGGTCTTAAAGGTGTTACAGTCACTGTCGATAAGGTTGATGCTAAGAAATACCCATTAATGGCAGCGGTAAATAGAGCAGCATCAGGTGAGTTTCCTCTATTCGTTTGAAATTTCTCATTCAGCGTTATTTCTAAAACTTGACACAACTTGATTTGTCGTATGCTAGTGAGCTCCGGTTGGCCACTAAACGAAGACAATCAGGCTTCTCCATACGTTAACTATTATATAGACGTATGTTATTTGTCAAACATTAGTTTCTATTCAGGATTCACTGTATTTTTATGGACTGCTGTTGTTGTGTTAAGTAGGCACCTGTTTGGGTTATAAACTGGTCCTACATTTTTAGTTACTATTTGTGCCTGTTATAACGTGATCCCTATCCACATATATTGTATTGATTGACTGCCCAGTCTAGTGATCGTATAATCCTGTGTCCTGATCGTATTATTGTATCATAGTAGTATATCGCGGCAAACATGATGATAATACACTTTTCAATTTTATCCAATTTTAATAAATATTATGTATGTTAATATTCAGATTATCGAATTTTCTTCGCACCCCATGGTATTGTTAGTTTATTATTATTGTTATGAGTAGCATTCAATGTTTACATTCAGATGACGAATTTCAAACTTGCTCTTACATTTCTTAATTGTCATTCTTTTTCTTATATGATTATTTGTGATAAACAACCGATTATGTACTTTTGTTTTTAATTTTTACTTTAAAACAATAAGTCCCTTTTGATAAATTTCGACAATGTAATGAGAAGACGAAGTTTGTCAGAATTATGTGCACATTCCAAACACTATCGTTGGGTAGGATAAAGTACTATCCTAAATAATTATAAATATGAATCATACAAAATAGCTAAATGAATGGTATCACTAGACTATTCAACCAGTGAGTTATTCAATACAATGTATACAGTCGAATCCAGAATATATCGAGTTGATACATTGTTAACGAACACAAAAATGGTTACTTGGTAAAAAAGAAATGTGTCCCTGCTAAGCAAGGTATGTAATTCTGCCAGTTAGTAATCAAGCGACTTGGTCACTGAAATGCAAACAGACCATAATTTGTACAAATGTTTTACAGTACAAACTGAAATAATCTTTGACTAAACAAAGATGGTTAGTGGCTAGCAGTGGAATCCAGGACGCACGTTTCGTCCTATTTGGGACTCGAACCCAGTACCGTCCGCTTCAAACGCCATTGCGTTATCCACTTAGCTACTGAATCCTGATAGCCACTTGCTTGTGCAATGGGGTGAAGTTTAATTTACTTGATATTGTTTTATTTGAATCTTCCCATTGATGTTTAGGACTGAAATTGTTCAGTCTCTTATTGGCATATGTGCATACTGTGCGTATGCCTCGATATTGCCTTAATTTACAAGCATTATAAGCAAAGATGGATAGTGGCTAGCTAAGTGGATAACGCGATGGCGTTTGAAGCGGACGGTACTGGGTTCGAGTCCCGGAGTGAACATCAACTCTGAGATGCAGGTACATCCAGCTGACGAGTCCCAAATAGGATGAAACGCGCGTCAAACTGAATTCCACTGCTAGCCACTATCCATCTTTGCTTATAATGCCTGTAAATTAAGGCAATATCGAGGCATACGCACAGTATGCACATATGCCAATAAGAGACTGAACAATTTCAGTCCTAAACATCAATGGGAAGATTCAAATAAAACAATATCAAGTGAATCTTTGACTAACTTTTAAGGAATATAAACTGCTCAGAAAATAAAAGACACTTCCAGCTACCTGAGGACTTTATTCTACAGTAAAACAATAAACCATTTCGAGCAGTAATCAACCAAACTCAAAGCAAATATGACAGCCGCCAAAGAAATGTAATTGAGCAAAATGAAATTGAGACAATCATTGAAATACTATGTAATAGCAAGAGAATGTTCTGAAAACTAAAATTATGATCGAAATAACGTCAGTCTCCTGTGAAACCAAGAAGTTAAGCGAATATACGGAAACAAAATTATCGAGAATATTAATCCTGTATTTAAAGGATTATAAATAATTATTGCGATGTAAGAAACATATGGGAAGAACCCTCTTCCCTCACATACACATGCATATCCACACAATAAGTTGCTTACAGCTATTTTGAAAATTTTTCTCCTTTCTCTTCACTTTACTAATATAAAGTCATTCGTTACACTACTTTATTTGTAACTTATCTACTTTTCTGTCATCTATGATTGTCGTGTGTAGTGAGGGTTTCCGGTTGGCCAATGGTACTTGCAAATTAAGGAACGATTGAACTATTGTAAAATGAATTGTTTTGTTGTCAACAGCTGGAACACAATACTCCACACAATCACCCGCTAACACAACAGGAAAATAAAATGTAGAAAAAACTTGCTGTTCAAACTGTCAACTTGAAATTGTACAACTCAGTATATTATATCTTATCGAAAGTACGATCTTCATGCATACAGAAAATCAGCTGACTTAAAGTAGTCACAGCTAGTTAGAAAAAGGCAGAGGTCGTGTTAAAGGTTGAGTTAGAAGAAATGAAATTCAATATTATCGTTAGTAGTAAGAATTTTAATATTAGAAATGGATAATGCGTAAAATTTCGTAATCACACTAACATTCGTACTCGTTAGTTAGAACACACAACACCATAATTATTTAAACAGGACACTGATACAATAGAAAATGTCTATCAAGACCGTTTGTGCAGGCTCAATATGTAGACGTGGTAACTTTTTATATTCTTAGTAAAATAGTTGTTTAAAATAACATTCATATTCAGTTTCTTTTAAAAATAAATCCCATGAGTATAACTAACTTTTATGTCATTCAAATGTGAATATTTTTTAAGAAGGAATAAATAAACGTTTTTTCTTTCAGTTGTACCTCGTCATGATGGGAGAGTTGTTTATGTTGATTATAAGCCGTCGAATTCCAAAGAGATCGATACATCATTATTTCTTGTCGGTAAAGGTATCACTTTTGATACTGGTGGAGCTGATGTTAAAGCTGGTGGGATTATGGCTGGAATGCATCGAGATAAGTGTGGTGCTGCAGCAATAGCTGGTTTAATGAAAACTATTGGATTACTGCAACCAGAAGGCATAAGTGTTTCAGCAGGTTTGGCATTTGTACGAAATAGTGTTGGAGCTGAATCATATGTTGCAGATGAAATAATCATTGCACGTTCTGGACAACGTGTACGTATTGGTAATACAGATGCTGAAGGTAGAACGGTTATGGCTGATTTATTATGTGAAGCAAAGGAAAAGGTTAGTAGTTATGTCATTTTTTTAGTCACTGTTCAAAAATCTATTACACATAAAAACTCACCAGTAGTATTGTGAATATTCCCGTTTGATGAGTTATCTCAACTAGTGTTAAGTTTTAGACTAAAATCTTTCATTGTACGATTTGAAATGTTACTTATTTTTACGATTATTATCATTATGTTAAAATATTCAAAAATGTCATGATGTAGTTCTCCTTTTTGTACATATATTTAAACAATTAACATTTAAGCTAAAAGGTGTGCGTAGGTTGTCACATGTGGTCAAGCATACATGTTTATACAGACGCGACAGTGATCATAATAATACAAAGAAATAGACAAATTGTTACTGTCTGAATAACGATGTTAAATAAGCTAATTGAAGAGAAGGACTTGACAAAACCGTAATCAAAATTAATTGCTATAGTCTGTTATTTATCAACCTTAGTTGTTTGATAATAGTTACAAACACAGGATAGTTTCCTATTTTTTAACGAAATTCTAATGGAATGTATTTTGATCGCTCATCAATCGAACACGCGGAGATACTTTCGCGTCTAATAACTTATGTTCTATGCTTTGACCACTGACATGCCTTAACTAACAGTGATTAACCTTGATCAATAGTTGAGATTATCTTAACACCTACTGGTCCATAACCCATACCATTCTTCCATTTCCGTGTTCAATCAGACACTATCGTACCGTAAATAGGAGATCATAGGTGTTAGAAGAACTAATCTACTATGTTAGTGATTGTGTAGAGTATAAATGGATTACTTTTTATATATGAGTAGGTAAAGGCGAATTCTAGTCCCGATACTTGAATGTTTACTTCATTCCTAGGAAGTACTTGTGATTTTCTGAAGTGATCGCTAGGTGCTCAAATTTCATTCGGTTTAAAAAGCTCCAAGTCTCAGAAAACTGTTTACACTTTATTTAAATACTGTAGTATAGACAGTCAAATGGTATATAATTATAACTCATGTTGGTATTTATGATGTATACCTCAGTTTATTTAAGTCCTACTAAGCAGGCTATTTCTCAAAATATATGGCTTTATCTGAGCGATAATTCTCTTTTTATTTCCTTTATTTGACTTTGTTTTCTACAGGCACTTACAGCTAAAAATCCATTCATATTTACTATAGCCACATTAACTGGACATGCTATTCGAGCTTACAAACACTTCACGGTAAATTTAAAACTCTTTGAACTAATAAACTGTCATTATTAGTATCTACATTTATTCTGGGTTGTCTGTTATAGTAAATACTTCTCTGTTTTAAACAATCAATATTCCGTTAAAAGGGTATAATTTAATAAAGATTTTCTCAAAAGGGAAAAGTATTTGGTTTCTAACTGACAAAAGGGATTTTTATTCAGTTTGCTACCCAGGTGTTTGTTTCTTAATATTTATCGTGAATATGTATCTGAAATTTTCTTCACTATTTATTCAAGTAGATGAATTGTAATTATTCTGGCGATGTCTCTGATAAATGGAGGTTCAGTGTTTATTAGAACACTTGACTTTCGTCTAGGAATCAAGTACAGTTTGGTAACAAGTTCCAATAAATAAGAAACATAACCTGTGAATCAGTTTACTATTGTCTTCAACAGCCGAACGTTATCTACAGAACACAACAATATTAAGATGAGAATAGTTTTAAAGAAGACAAAATGTGTCCAACCCGAAACACGGAGTATGTTCACTACATCACTGACTATTCAAATGTTTGTCAGTCTCATTTTTTCTTCACAAACCTCAAAAGCACGTAGAAAACGAACTGTATAATAATTTTTTCATAGGAGAATTACCTAATAACCAAGGCAATTTTTATAAAGCAGTTGTATAGCTTTCCGTTTTATACAATTTCGATAATTCAATTTATTGTTTTCCTTTAATTTGGCAGGCTTTGATGGATAATGGTCCAGCACGAGTTAAAAAGGTCTCATATGAATTACAAAATTCTGGTGATCTAATCTCTGATATTGCCGAGGTAAGTTTTCCGTTAAGATAATTTATTTCGTCACAGATGATGTGAATAACAGTTATCATGGTTTGTAATGAATTTATTTTATTTCACTTTTTCTGTGTAGTGATTTATATCATAAATTGACTGGTGGTACAAATAATGTGGGTTATAGGCTTCAAAATACAAAGTAACTTATTTTAACGGTAAAATTTGCTTATAAGGAATGCGGTGGTTTGGTATGGACGGCTCACGATTTGCAACCATTAAGTCGAAGATTTAAAATCTCCACTTACCTTTGAGCATTGGGCTGGTATAATTACTCTCCACACTAATCTTTATGTAGTAAATGGGTTAAACAGACAAAAAAAGACTTATAAAGGACTTTCATAGTCATTTAACTTCAATTAAGTTAGGGGATAAATGGCGTGATTAACCGCAGACGACATGCCCAAATTACTTTCGAAAAATGGGTATAATAATACTACTACTGGTTGATAATACTAATTGAGAGTGTGATATTGAGCAACTAAATTAATGAAGTGGATCCCATTTGAGGAATGTAATTCAGAAAGTGAGGCACATATGTGCAGTTCTTTTAAGTGTTCTAATTAAGCAACCAAGATAAACATGAAAATCATCGTGGGAAAAGATTGGTTACATTCGAAGGTGTGATGCTTTTAGGGAAAATTGCTATGCACCAGGAGTTTGAACACTGTTTAACCACGAGGTATTAGAGACGAAGCATACTATCCATAGCACAATTTAAGGGAACAAAATTACCCCGAGAAAACAGCATTTCATTGTGTCACATGAGAATATTAACAGTTACTGGAAATTTATTAGGCGAAATCTTTTGGTAGTAGTGCATGTAGAATAGACTAGTACAAGAATAAACTAAAATATTGGACTAAATTGATTACTAGTTACGGAATTGAAGTCATATAAATGGTTCAGTATAGCTCAACCTAGTTACTAACAGTGAAACCAAATGAATCAAGTGGATGAAATTTGGAATTTGTAATCAAATTAAGATTGTCCCTATTGTATTTCTGGATTTTGTATGAAGAGTACAAACTATATTTAAAACAGTAAGGATAAATTGCATCGTATCAACCATAGAAAGAAACAAGGTAAGAAATATTTTGTGGATATTTTTCCTAAGGATTACTACCCACTTGGTCTCATCATAAAGCCTTTATCGAACTTATTGACAAACAAAATCAAATATCGAAACCAAGAGAGAGACTATCATACTAAACATGAAGGACACGTAGAAAATTACAGCCATGTTATTGAATTCATTTGAAATAGACTTAGCATATAAATCACTAGAATTACTTAAATGAACGCAAACCGAAAGATGAAATAATAAATAGGGATGAACAACATCTACAAAATAAACTGCTGCAACTGTGGAAAATTAATCATCAGACAACTGTTCCATCTTCTACTCTTAGATGAGCATCGACTTAGAGTAAAGCGTCACGACATATCTTCGTTTATATCAGTACATTTAGACAATGTTGGATGCAAACTGCAATGGGAAATCTTTGAAATTTCTGACATTTCTAACATCAGAATATTTGGAAACAACCGATCAATATATCGCAAAAGGACTTAGCGTATCAACCAATTACTAAATTCGTAAACAACTATAGGATCGGGGTTCAGACCAAAGGGGAAGACAATGTAAGTGTGCAAGCAATAACAAGATTATTGTTGACAGCAACCAGTTAAAATTATTGTCGGCAGAATAAGTCAGTCATTTAAAGAGAGATTTCCTAAGGTTTAAGTTACTTATTTTGTTGAAAAAGACAATGAAAGTTTTATGTTTGAACTATCCAACTAAAAAAACACAACAACTCTGAGTGATTTCATATGGTGGCCAATCTGTTCAAGTTTCTTTGTACATGACAAAATCAGGGACTATTGAGTACATTACTCGTCATCACTTATCGATAAATAAGAATATGGAAGCGGTAAGGAAATTCACTAATTATGTTTTCTATCACTTTAGATTACAATCTAATCTCACTTCTTCTGTGTCATTTAATTAAGCGGAATTATACATACATACACAAATAATTTGTACATTGTGCCAATAAACGTGATTGAAATCTCTAGCTTTTCCAATCATACTATAATAAAAGTATGCTTTACTGATGACCCTCGGTGACTTTCAAAATGACCTCGTGAAAATCAATTTTCAGCCCACCATAATGTAGATAATATACATGTAACTTGAAAGCCTAAAATATGTTGGGGTTAGAATATGTAATTTGACTCATTGGTAAGGGCGTGTAGTGGGGTTAAACGATAAGAGTAATTATTATTCTTATTTAATGTCTGAATGGGTGTATTCCGTTTAATTATTATTTAGCGGAAAATACCTTTCAGGCACATGAATGAATACTTATGCATTTAGTTATTTGATTTCATATATCAATGACCTTTGAGTTTCCTTGAAGACTCCACAAGTCATATATATATATATATATATATATATATATATATATATATATATATATATATCAATTGTAAGCGTTTTGGTGATTCAGGTTTTTTCAAGGTTTTGTTTATTTCTTACTCAGCTCTTAAATGAGATATAAGTTATCTGTAATTGTGTTTTAAATTGGATTCAGAAATCCAATAACCATCATCGTAAATCTGATTGGTTTGTAAGTAAAGTATTCTTTTACCAAAACATATAAAAAATATATCACAATATAGTATCAGCGGGAATAGAATCAGTGAGCACGAGAAAGTTGCAAATAACTTTTGTTGTAGATAAGTACTGTTTAGAAATATATTTTATAATCAAATCCTATATGTTTAGATGTCATGATGTGCATAACATTTTTATGTCATCTAGTTTAAATCTAATAGTTCGACTTCTCAACTCATCAATTTCTAATGTAATACGGAGCTATCTGGACGGATAAGGATTATCATTACTCCAATAAATTCTAACAAGTTTCTTTCTATATGTATATATATTATTGCTTCCTTTTTTGTGAAAAAAAAATCAGATTTCTACTATTCGTAAAGAAGATTATGCTATGAACAAGGCTAAAAGTGAATATGAAGACTTAGTCCAATGTAATAATTTGCCAAGCAGCTGTACACCACGAGGTCATCAAATGCCAGCAGCTTTTTTGGTTGTTGCTAGTGGCTTAAATAAGGTAAGCGTTGAAAAATGTGATAGAAATGTTTTTATTTCATAATAAGACTATTTTTTTTATCAGGATTGGTTTTTATTTGTTTGTTGCTTTCATTGTGGTTGACAACTGATTGTTATGATTAGAAATATTTTCTATACGGTAACCCTCCAAAAGAGGTCGGTAATTGATAATTGTCTTTTCATCTTCATAAATTGATAGCTGCCAGTCAAATTTGAAATTCTTATGAAAGATTCAGCCAGTCAGTCATATGCAACATGGTACGCGACACATGCGCGTCATCTCAATTTATCACACCACATCAGTAGGGACTGATGAAATTATCAAGATAAGTCTTTCTCATGAGAGACTGCCATTTATACGCTAGATAATCTCACTTTATGACAGTGAGTATTATTTGTGAGTGAGCTATTTAATGAGGGCAAGAAACTGATTCATCATTAAATTGTGTCAGTTTATCCAACTGTACTATCTCATAACACATTGATACATTTATTTCGGCCATCACTGTTTTCACTAGTTCCATATTCAATAGACTGTAATAATTTGGGTTTCTTAAAAAAATGAAGTTTATCTAAGAATTAAAACAATAAGCTTGTATTACCTGGTTCTAAACCATGTCATTTCCTGTTTTCCAAGTGTTCTACCTGCTCCGTCCTTTCTTAAATTATTGATACTCTTTCCCGCTCCAGTCGTCTGTGACATATTCCACACCACGTTCTGATGAATACTACTTACAAGCGGTCTTGTTGGTAGTATTCACATTAATACAAGAAATACAGAAATACAATTATATAATGATTTAATGATTATACAATGCAAATATAAACAGGGATTGTCTACGAATTTGTTCTAAAAGTTAAAATGTACTCAGTATTCGCTGATTAAAACAGTCAGATGTCTGCGAAACAATCGGCATCATTGTTTTTAGGCTAAGTGATACAAGAATTATCCCAAATCTCAGGTCGCTTCTGTTATTCTAATAGAAACACGGAGTGATAATATTTGTGGATAAATGCATTAAACTATGTATTTGATCTACAGCTAGGGAAAGATAAGAGAAAACTTATCAAGAAGCAAGTCTGTTTTAATCGATGTTAACTACTAACACTGATCAGGACGATTTCATCCGCCTCACGTTCAGATAGCATCTTGCTGAATTCAATCACATTCCACTTATTCAGACTGAGTTCGGTTAAACACTTAATATCATCTTCAATCATTAAACCACAATTAGTGTGGTGTGCGTTACTTATGTAGACATAAGTAGTTGTGAACAGAATGTCTGGCAGCAGAGACGAGAAGATCGAACAGTAAAGAATGAAAACAGAATGCAATTTGTATGAAAATGAAAAAACAAAGGAATTCTGATTCATTTGAGACCATTGACAGACATTTTGCAAATTGAGCATTTAAATTTTACTAACTAGTTCTGTAATTTGCTGCAACTACATTCGATTGTCCCCACCCGTGTTCTGTTCATTACTATATAAGTATGAAGTGATATTTCATTCTTAATATGCTTATCTTATTAAATGCTTTCGTTTTGTGTATATGAATCAATTGTTTTTCCTCTTTTTTTATTGTAGCATGGACTTGATGCCAAAGTGCAAATTCCTTACACACATGTAGATGTAGCCGGTAGTGCAGGTGAAATTAACGTGACACCAACTGCTGCTCCTTTAATGATGTTTGCAAGACGATATATTTTACCACGACTAAGTTTTAAGTAACAATTTGACAATTATCTAACTTCTTCAATAATTAAGAATATTCTGTTTTAAATTTATTCGAATTTCGTCTATATCGTCTTTCTTATGAATCAATAATGAATATTTTTCAGTTTGATTACAAAACAATGATTGTGTTAATGTTGCAAATTTTCGAATGGTATTTTCATATTGAAAAATGAACAGTAATAAATTACTGATAAATTAGTAATGTACATTGGTTCTTGTTGTAGATTACGGTGAATAAGAATGAAACAAAACAGAACAGACAAACTAATAAACAACATTCATTGATTAAGTGCAAAATATGAAAATCGAAAAACATACATATGATGAGAATAACGGCATTAAAAACAAATGAAAAGGAAAACGATTAATTCGATAAAAATAAACCAACCAGAGTGACAGAAATGAGTTATAATAGTCAGTTCGTCGACTAAGAGTCGATGGTGGTCGTGAGGGGAACATTGAGTGGTGACAATGCACATTGTGTGTGTGTGTGTGTGTGTCTGTGCGTGTGTGTTACCAGTGAGAGTGTGTGAGACGGAGTTGGCGACTCAACTGGTGTGGGTGTCTCAGACGGTGGAGTGGAGTGGAGAGTCGGACAAAAGCCCGCTACGTCAGGAGCAGGGTTCGAACCTGCGCGGGGAAACCCCATTGGATTTCAAGTCCAACGCCTTAACCACTCGGCCATCCTGACACGATTCGCCCCTACACACAATCAACTCACACGCTCATCACCACCACTTCAACAAAACACTCTCTCATCACACATCCGCTCGCACACACGCAAAACACCGGCACTAACACACATACTCATCGTAGCGACATGGATCACAACAAAAACTACTACGATTACGACGACGAAATATCTCCCCACACAATCACTGTTTCCCGGTCGTTGTGGCTAGTTGACATCTCACCACATTGTGGATGACCTGTCGACTCACACCACTCCTTTCGTTCGTGAGATTCACACCAGTGACTAATGCTCAGTTGGAGAATGAGATGAAAATCTGGAGAAGTCCCAATCAACACGTCATCGATCGAAACATGAGAGTTGTGGTCAGTCGGACGTCACATGTTTCGTGTCGGGACAGACAGTATGTGGAGTGTTCAATGTACAGGAACAAAGTGATGCACATGCACAGCGTGCAATCGAGCAAGCTGGTGATCGATCTGTCCAACTTGAATGAGCGAGCGAGCGAGCGAGTGAGTGAGTGAGCGAGAGAGATAGATGGAGAGAGAGAAATCGAAGAAATGGAATAGAGAAATGAGAGGCAGATATAGATGTGGAGTGAGACAGAGACGAAGGTGAAGTTGGTCAGTGCGAACGGACTGTCGATGATTGTATGATTGACGCGATCATCAGTCTTCGGTCAGTCACGTCTGGTGTTGTCATGTTCAATCTGAATGTGGATGGAATGTCTGTTCCTGTTGACTCTGTTCGCCGACTCAACTGAACACATTCTCATGACGGAGGATGAATGGAACGACTGTGGTTCAGCATGTCTGGTGACTTCACATTGCCATTCGCTCGAGACCTCCAACATTTCCTCGTCCCTCTCCACAATCTGCATCTCACAGACATCGCCATCACTACCACATGAATTCACACGAAGATTTTGTGGGTGTGCACCATCACGCACAATTTATATCTAAAAACTCGCTTGTGTATATCAGTCTGGTCGTTGACACGCATACATGTTTGATGAGATGCAGACGAACAAGGCGATATTGTTGTTCGGGTCTACAGTGGTGATGGGGAAATCGCTGTGAGCACACCTATGACGAGCTAGCTGACATTGTCGAGTTACTGATTGCATCGGGTCTGATCACTGAGCCAGTGTCTGGTGATATGCATCTGTGTGCAGTTGAGGGTATGTTGTTTTCATGTGGAGCAGTGTTTTCAGTGATCGATGGAGTAGAGTTAGTGTGCACTCACTCGGTCGGTTATCAGTGAAGCAGTGTCTCTTGAGCAAGTGAAGGAGATAGTGACGAACAGTGAGTGTTCGTAGTTGGTGATGACTGTCGTTGTATTTGGACGAGTGTCTGTTCGTCGACTGAGAGTCGATGGTGGTCGTGAGGGGAACATTGAGTGGTGACAATGCACATTGTGTGTGTGTGTGTGTGTCTGTGCGTGTGTGTTACCAGTGAGAGTGTATGAGACGGAGTTGGCGACTCAACTGGTGTGGGTGTCTCAGACGGTGGAGTGGAGTGGAGAGTCGGACGAAAGCCCGCTACGTCAGGAGCAGGGTTCGAACCTGCGCGGGGAAACCCCATTGGATTTCAAGTCCAACGCCTTAACCACTCGGCCATCCTGACACGATTCGCCCCTACACACAATCAACTCACACGCTCATCACCACCACTTCAACAAAACACTCTCTCATCACACATCCGCTCGCACACACGCAAAACACCGGCACTAACACACATACTCATCGTAGCGACATGGATCACAACAAAAACTACTACGATTACGACGACGAAATATCTCCCCACACAATCACTGTTTCCCGGTCGTTGTGGCTAGTTGACATCTCACCACATTGTGGATGACCTGTCGACTCACACCACTCCTTTCGTTCGTGA